TATTATCATTACAAGATATTAAATTATAAATTTATAGAGATTATGATATCAAATACTTTAATTTTCTACTTTATTCAATTGCTAATTACTTCTTTAATTTTATTTTATGTATCTTTCTATCAATCATTTAGTCCTTTTACTTTCCTTCCACTTCCTTTTCTCGACAATACATTAATTTCATTTAATCTTTTTTTACTCTGTTAATGATTCTATCATGTGTAGATAGCTATGTATGGGTCATAAGACGTACATACAAAGTTTTTATATAAAAGACGTCCATTAATCAGAATGAAATTAAACGAAATAAAAAATTCAGTTTCATTCATAGCTTGTACATCTAATTGGAGGAATAAATTGTTGCAAACTAAAGAATATTTAGGCAATAGCTGTATTTAATTGACTTTTTTTTTTTTTTTTTAATAAGCAAAATTAACATTAACGGCAATTGTCAAATATTATTTTATTTACTTTATTATACTTGTACAATTTATTAGTTTCTATTTCAAAAATTTTATTTATACATTTAAAGTATCTATGAATATGTGAATTATCTATAATTGTGTTTATAATTTTATCTGTAATATGGCAAATTAATTAAAGCTTAAGATATTAACGCAATTTTAGTGATATCATTGTATATTCAGAAGAATAATTTATTCATAGGATTAAAAATGAGTGTATTGATGATTTGAATTTAGAGAAACATGAGATTGGAAATAAGCTAGATTTTAAGAATTAATAAGAATCATCGCTTCATAAAAAAAAATATTACAAACTTTTGATAATGCTTATTCAGATTTTAGCAGGAAAAAAATTCATTCAAAATAATCCATACAGGCACGCGCGCGTGCACTCACACACACACACACACACACACACACACACACACACACACACATACGTTTTCTCTATATATATACATATGTAAGTTAAATTGTTTAGCAAAACTGTTTGTAAGAAATTTCCTTAATTATTTTAAAGATAATTCTTCTCTATTGAAATATAAATAAGAATTGTCGTAGAAAAGAAAAATGCGTGCGAGGGTTTACGTACAGATAAATGCATTACGTATACACATATATTTTTCATCAATTTTACATAAACAACATACTTAAGTCGTTGTATTAGTACGATAGGAGGCATTCTAGGCTTTCACATACTACACATTAAAAAATCTGAATAAAAAATTGATAACTTGAAACGGGATAATTAAAATATCGGTAGGGATTAAAAGATATACCGTACATTGAAGTAAATGCTTAGATTAAGAAAGTAACTTTCTAGCAAATTTTCTAATCATTCGTTTTCGTGTATTAAAGAGAGGATAATTGTTGAAGAATCATCATAAAGAAAAATATTTAAGCATTCAATAGATTATTGAATGAATGATATTTAAATTTTATAATTTTAGATAATCCGAATTCATATTTTTAAAAACTTTGCAATGAATGTATTATTGGGCTTTTATAGTACTATGTACAAATGTCTGGATAAATATTATTTTATGGCAAACATATTTTTTGTATTTAATTTACAATAAATTCACCTAAAAATTAAAATTTCTAATATTTTTATTTACAATTTTTTAATTATTAACTTATGTTGAGTCATAAATCGACAATTACATAAGAATTTGTTAAATAAATAGTAAAATTATTATACTTTTTATATCGTGTTTTGTAGCTGTAATTGTTTACAGTAAGATTTTGTGAGCAATTTAAAAAAAGAAGAGAAGAAAAAAACGGGGGGTAGGCGGAGGGGAGGGGAGGGGGGGGGGGGGGGGGGGGGGGGGGGGGGGGGGGGGGGGGGGATTTCTACTCACATATCAATAAAATTCTTTCCAAAATTATCATCCATATAGATTTTAATGATACAAAATTATGAATTTCTTATCTCGGAATATTTCGTATTGTAATGTTTTAAACTGATGTAGGCATTCGAACTGTCTCGGTCAGTCTACACTCTAAATTATAACCTATGCTTAAAAATAACTAATATACGGTTGCAGAAGCGCGTTTCGCTAAAAAGCTCGATTGAATTATTTCACCATGAAAAGCGATATATCTCTGACTGCCCTGTAATTTCATTGTGCTTGCACTGGTCATTCTATTCTTTGCTTCATTTCTCAGTTGCCGTGCTACGACGCAAATGTTGTTTGTAATATGGAAGAAAGTCACTACGAAGCGTCGCATCGCTCGCCTCTATCGCCGATCTTGGGCCAAACTCTGCTATTACTGAAGAATAAAAGCTATTTTATTAACAGATAGCTTTCTTCTTATTATAAAAAAAAATCCTTTGTTATCAACATAAGCATCTTTGTGCTTAAACTGACAATTTTCTCATTTTTAACACAACTAATAAATATCATTTCAAGTGCGGTAAAAAAAAACTCGAATGTATGTATATTTAAAAAAAAATTGTGTATATATACGTGCGCGATCGGTAATTAAATTACGAGCTTTGATTGAGATCCGAAGCTTTTCGAACGTTACGATCTCAAATTCCATTTATACAAGTTATCTATACCATAAAGAAATATATTTACTTAAGTTTTTAATTAATTTCAGTGGCGTGCTATTATTATGTTCTGCGTATTACATCATCGATTAGTTAATTATTCTAGAAATGCAGCCAATACCTGCACATTATACGAATATAAATTATTTTTTTACTAACTATGATTTCTTCACAATTACATATTGCGTTTTTAATATTTCAATGCAATATGCATTAAACACGTATATCATAATAAAATAACATATAAATTGTGGAGTTTTCTTATTACATTGCACAATTCTTTGCTACGTGAGTAAATTAATATTAGACATTAATAGAGTTGATATTTACATCAATTACAAATTAATATTTAGTTACCTGTTTTAATGAACATATTAATAAAATTCATTGGAAGCTCATAAATATGGACATATGATAATTTTGGCCGATAGAACGCCCGTTTGTAATTATTTAATGGCATTAATTCGCTACAGCAATTTTTGCTCTTTTCTCTTACTTCTACACTTTCCAGTCAGGTTGTACCAGTTTTTTTTTTTTTTTTTTTTTTTTTTCATTCGTGAAATAGTTGAGTACTGTTCTACGAAAAAATCTATATCACTGGAAATGTAAATTTCTCGTAACGAAGCCATCTCTCTACAATATCGTATGCGACCAATTATCGTAAAATGATATTGTATGATTTTATCAATTCATTATATAGATTGTGAGAGAGTGGCGTGAATAAAATGATCGATTAAGAAAAATTACCAGCCCAGCTTGGCTATTTTCACATCAATATTATTATATTTGCGCGCTGTTCGCATGGCAAAATCATATTATACCAGTAATTATCCAATGTCGATAATTAGACGGAATTTCATCTTAACAGTTGCGACGATCGTGAGAAACGAGATGAAGGAAAATCCTCCAGTCGTCCATTGTTGAATGTTTGCCTACAATGATTTTCGCGAAGCGCCTTAAAAGAGACACAAGTGAAAAGTCACATACAAGACCAATCCCGCACGGCTTTATATTTTCAAGCAATTTCCGAGCGCAAAAAGTCACGAAGTACGAAGCATGTGGAGCTCCTGACGATATCAATCACGCGGCACAACTACCCTAATGCGCACTGCATTTTATTGCAGCCCTTCGACCAATCCGCTCGTAGGAAGCGAGAAAGAGCCATTCGCCATTTCCGTTCGGTGCATTAAGCGGGCAAATATATGCGAGCGCGCGCACATGCGCGGATGGGCGAGTAATTAATTACCATCGCAAGGCCGCTCGCTTCTCGAAATTGGATCTTGCCACGTAAGAGCAATAGCAACCGCTACCGCTTTGGCTTTGTTTGAACACGCGGCTCATTGGCAATTGCGGCAATTTACGATTTGTCATGCAGGAGATTTCACATTTCCCTTCGACTTTGCATTACTGTGATTTCTCAGCTACATACCTTTTTAGGGTGTGGAATGAGAATAATGCGTATGGGACGTCGAAGAGGTTTGGTATTGTTTGAAGAGGCACGTTGAATTGACCGGGGGCATCGCGCGAATTAACTAACCTATTGATTGAAGGATAATAATGTCGTGAAAAATTTATGGAAAGCTTAAATGGATATTTTTCCATTATCAGATTTTTAATTGGATCAAATGCTTGCGCAAGTAAATGTAAGATATACGTTATTATCAATGTAAATTACTGAGACGAGGAGATAAAGTATGCTAAAGCGACGAAAAGAAAGGGGATGTTGTTTGTTACTCGCCGTTGGTCGTATGTCTTTTGTTATTAATTATTGTACATTAAAGTGAAAAATTTGTAGTCAACTAATAAAGCAAATGGAAATTATTCAACTTACCTTTTTTATAAGATCTCAGATGTAGGCAATTTGCAGTAAGCTGTTGAAAGCCTTTTACTTTACAGTTACAAGGTTACAATATTACCATGACCTTCTATAATTAAATTAATATTTATCTTTGATTGAGTGTCCGCATATAGACGCGGATATTTAGATCATATTTTATCGTTTTAGTCTTCACTACTATACAATGAGGCAATTGAAATTAACGTGCTATAATAATAAGCATTAGTAGTGGTATTTATTTTTCATACAAGTTTATTGGTAATTATAATCAATGTCTTGTTCATTTGAATTGAACTTTCATACATACATACATACATACATACATACATACATATATATATATATATATATATATATATATATATATATGTGTATAAACAAATATCATAAATAAAATATATCGCCGTTACATCTTAATATAAACAAATATCTAATATAAATTGACTTTATAAAATCATTCTTCGTTTATATTAAAGTCAACAGAATGTACGTACGATGATAATATTATTATATAATATATAAATACATTTTGTTTTATTTTGTTTTGTTTTGTTTTTGTTTTTAACTAGATATTTACAAATAATATTCCATTAGAATTAAAATCAGCGTTTCCACTTATAAGTAACTTTAATAAAATTGCATGGATTTTATAAAAAGAATTCTTACTAAAGAGAAGATTTGAAAGTATAAAAATAAAATGCATTATCCTTGTAACCACTGGCCTCTTATGATTTCTTTGGCTTCTTTCGCGGCTGTAGGCCGCTGTCGTACTCGGAGGTGTTGAGCATCCTGACGTTCTTTAGGATTCCGCTTCCGAAATTCTGCAGCCGCTTCGCTTCGGGTCGCTTCACCGGCACCCCGTCGGGCCTGAAAGTGGAAAAAGAACGAGAGGACGATGAACGAGACGAGAAAAGGCAAAGCCGAGACTCGTAAGGTGCTTAACTGTCGCATTAAGGGTAACCAACCCGCAATTTTCGATAATTCCCGCGCAGAGGTGCGACATGTGGCCTCACCTCCAGAGCCTAATGGAAAATTGACAAAAAACACTACGTGCACGGGCCAGTGCGCTTTTTAGAAAAAGCGCGACACGCGTTATTCGGGTCCGAGCCGAGGATCACGCGAGCGCTACCAACTGGCGTGCCGAATCCCTTAGTTCCTTTCTTCCTTTCGTTCCGTTCGTTTTTCTCTGCTGCTGCTGCTGCTGCTGCCGCCGCCGCCCCTCCCCCCTCTTTCGACCCCAACACCATCGCCCAACACCACCGTCGTCCATTCACTACCTCTCTCGCTCTCTCGCTCTGCTTTGCTCCTTTCCTCCGCTGAAGAACCGCGCATTATATGCACGATGCGCTCACGACACGATTACTTCACCGCTGTAGCCGCGAGTCCATCGTTCCTTTTTTCTTCTTACGTAGGGCTAACCGATTATTATATTGTAAAGCCATGCGCAGCAATGCGGTGCGCGCTAATGCAATATCGAATCGAGAGATCGGCCGATTATAATTCCCTGGACTGGGTTTCTTTATGTGTCTGGGAGAATGAGCGATTCTCCTTGTGAGACGGTGATATTACTTGACATAGCGAATAAATCGTAAGAACCAAAGTCATAATTTTACGTCTGAAATATCAATTAAATGCCCGCTTAATTACGTTTACCATGATAAGCGTGTCTTTCGAGACGAGGCACAATATTATTACTTAACCAAATTATTATTATGTTTGTTTGTTTTTTTTTTATTCATTTGCTTTTTGTCTTTTAGTATTTTCTTTTATTGCTGTTAATATTAATCTATAGTTGTATTAGTATATATTTGTATGCTTTGATAGAAGAAAAGTATATAAGCAGTATAATGTAATGTGAAGTCTGCGGCATCCCGCATGCTAAACGAGCCTCATACCGACTGTAAAAAGTTTCGAAATTAAAAATCGCCATATTATCACTGATTAAATATATCGTTTTATGCACAATATTTCTTATGGTACGTCTCTCGGTTTTATCTTTTTCAAATTTAACCTTTCGTTTATTGCAGATTTCGCGAAAGTAGGCGCATTAAAGATGAAAAACTCATTTCACGTATAATTTTGCATGAAGTCTTGTAAGCATTTAGTATTTACTAAGAATTTTAACGTACAAATAGTTAATGTTATTTTAAAAAAATTATCTTCTAATCGCACGTATTTATGGAAATGCAATTGTTAATTCGTAAATGCGCTTGGAAACTTTACTACAAAACATGCGAGTTCATTCGTGTAAAAAATTCTGAATCGTTAGGCCTCGATACTTAATAGTGTTTACATTAAATCTACCAATGAAATCATTCGAATCGAATTTAATAAAATAATATTCTTAGTTAAATCGAAAATATACATATCGATATATTTCGCTATTTGTGGCCAATAAGACGTAGGCTTGAAGAAATTAAAAATTTCGATTCCTTCTACGCTGCTCCCTGCAGAATATATATACTTTTGTTCAAAAACAATATTATGAATACTTCGAATGATATTTATTTTGCAAATATAGCGAAAGAGGCGAGCAAAGATTCGATTAAAGACAATAAAAAATAGTTAAATACATTCGTGAAGTATTCAATCAAGTAGTACTCCACTGTAACACGGCAGAATTCATCTAAACATTAGAATTCCCTTCAACGCGCTTCCACGCGCTTCCACGCGTCACTCTACCGATAAGTCATTAGCCTAACAAATAAGCCTTAGGCTAAAATTAGTTCAACAACACGACATTACATTAGCGCGTTATATATACATTATAATATCCGGGCACGAAATATTCTGGCAGTTCATGTATCGACGCGCACCTGCTTTTCCCCGCCACCTGTCGAAAACAGCTAATATAAGAGGAAGGGGAGCGAGAGAGAGAGAGAGAGAGAGAGAGAGAGAGAGAGAGACGGAGAGCGCGTTTTTATATCACATGCTCGGGGCAGCAGGTTATGAAAAAATATTAAAATTCGTGGCCCGTACAGTGTAACGGGACTCGGGACTCGGGACTAAAAATTAAACTTTGCAAGAAATTAAATTACTTATAATTTATAGGCTTAATGGGAAATTGTTTTATAATAACCCGTAATCATATGAAAGAACTTCATTTGCATACATTGTTAACGGATCTGCTAGACAGTTTTTCATTAATGCGTTAAAATTTCTCCGTGTCGTTTGTACCACTGGGCGCATTTATTATTAATTGATCGATTAAACTACATCGATACTCGTTAAAAACAAAAAAAAACAAAAAAAAACAAACAAAAAAAAACTAAAAAAAAAGAGAGAAAAAAACAAAAAAAAAAAAAAAGACAAAATTAATATAAAAATAAAAAATAATTAAAGATAAAATTAATCTTCCATCACAGCGTACACTTGGACACTAATCAGTAGATAAGATTTTTTTCTACTCAACATTCACAGATCGGCCATTATCGATATAATGTAGCATTACCCGTTGAACTTAATCATTATTCTTTACCCCATAAATAATTTTGTGCCCTATAAGCAGCCAGCCAAGTACAATTGTCGATAAACGAATACATGCGCATGACCATTGTCGCGTAATTAAAATCCAACCGATTAAATCTTAACCTCAAAGCCAAGCACGTTGGCACCTAGCATCGGCTACCACCAGCTATAGCTATCACCATTTGCCAACCCATTCGACGCATCGGTTAAACGATTATTGGCCAACTGCGAACACAAATGTCGCACGAGCCAACCCAGTCCCAAGCACGGCTCATGGGAATCTTCGAGCAGCCATTAGTCGCGCGTCTCGCGCAAAATACCCGAGTCGTCGCACGTGGCCGAGTGCGACTCGTGCGGGGGAGTCAATTGCGCGCGGTTCGGCCCCCCCGAACTCATTGGAGCGTCACCAGCCCGCCTTTCACCCATAAATGCGCGCTCGCCCAGCGACGCTGTGGCCTCGCCATCCCCGCGTCTCACGCCCACGCGCGACAAGAGAATCCGAGAAAAGTCGCGCACTCGGGGGCTGCTGAGCTCGTCCTCTGATTCTACTTCTCTCGCCACCACCACCACCACCACCACCACCAACAACAATACCCCCCTCCTCCTCCCCCCCCTCATCCAAACCAGTAACTCCGACCGCGCTCACCCGCCACCAATTATTCGATAAATAAACGCCAAGACTAAAATGTCGCCGGAATGTTGGTCGTTTGCGACGAGACTAATTCTTCTCCTTCCCTTGTACTGCTAAACCTACCTAACAATTCTATTAAGTAGCCTATTCGGTAATTGATAATTAAGTAGCGGTATTACGGTATATCAAGGGCACTATCCTATCCACTCTTACTAGCGCTGAAAGAGTAAACTAAAAATCTGGAATCTAATGGACGAGTGAAATATTTCGATGAAAACATCATCCGCAGCTGTGTTTGATGATCGGGGATATTAATCTACGTTCGACTGGTAATTAAGGCACGCGGCATTAAAAGCGGCGGGTGGGTGGCAAGCCGATAATAATCTAACGATTATAACGATAATGTCGTGGAAGCACGAAGCGCGGCTCGGATGAAATGGAAAATGCTTGTCGAACGGAACTCGCCGCAGTCGAAAAAGCGCAGGATTAAAGACGCCCGTGGAGCCGCTCCGTCGACAGGGAAAAATTCAAATAAACCGCGCCAAGCCGACGGTCGTATCCTTTAATCGGCGAGCGACATCGCCTGGCTCATCGAACCCTCGTTCACCCCGCGCGCCCATCCCCGCGGCCATCAACCATCACCGTTGCCGAGTGGATTCAGGGAGGCGACGGGGAGGGAGCCGTGGAGGGGTAATAATAACGCGGTCTAAAGGGAACCGTAAGAAATGGCTGATTTCCCGCTGCTGCGATTTCAGTGGACAGAGTCGGCGGTAACGCGGTAGACGTCATCCAACCCCGCGATCCCCGCCCGCCTGCGTTGGGTGCACTCAAGCGTCGCGACGTCGGCGTATATCCGTATAAATGACGACTGGGCTCTCGTGTGGCCGGATGCGGCGGTCGCATCAGTCTGTTTAATAGCCGTATTGTATAATTATGAACAATGGACTAGGACCGGTCCAGGAGGGCGGCGGGGGAAATGAGGGGGTGGATCGGTCGACGGTGTATCGGTCGACGGCGGGGAGTGGTGGGGGAGTGGTTGGGGAGTGAGAAGGTGTGCACGAGTGCCGAGAGTAAGAGGAGCGGTAGCGAGAGTCCGTATGGCGAGTACGATGTATCCGCCGCGTGTATCTCCTCGTCCGTTCGTTACGTGTCGCGATATGACGGATGGACGGGAGTACGCATTGGCCCGGAGTCGCTTTGGACTTTGTCCCCGTGCACCGGCTATGCTCGGTGATGCTGCTGCTTTACGCTCTCGAGCGAGCGTTTGCGCCCTCCGATTGCCGACCCTCTTTCCATTTCGCCACTCGCACGGGGGACGACAAAGGCTGCTTTTCCTATTTCACGGATCTTATCGCTACTGCGGAGTATATTGCCTAGGTAGCTGTTCCTAGCCCCACCCCCGACTACGCCAACTTCACTCCCACGCTTTAGAACGCTATCGTATTCCTTCTATTGGAAGTTCTATCGATGTACGTATGTCGGGCCGATAAGTGTCGTTGGCATTTCTGGCTAGCGGTAGGCTGCCATTCAATAGCGAATTTTCTCATTTTCTCACTATGTAGGATAAGCGCTATGCTATATTCGGACTAAACACCACACGGACAAATACTCATTGGAGCTATATTTTTCTCTTTTAGTCGCATAGTCGTACATATAACGCGGTCTCTCCTTCAATTTATGACGTTAAGCTTCGATTAAGCTATCGGTGCGTCTCTCGAAGCCATTCCCCCGCAGCCGTCGTTACATCGTGCTTTCGCGTCTTTCTTAAACCAAATGCATTTTATCACCCAATGATGTTCCATCAGTCCCCTCGGATTTTCTTATTTTCATTCTCTAAGCATACATCATCCTTTAGTATTCACGTTATATCGTATCGATGTTTATTTTTCGATTCGATGATTTTGATTAAATTGTAAATGCTTATCTAAAAGAAAAGAACAAACGTATTTGCATGAATTTAATGAGATAACGGAATTTTTATGATAAAAATTTTCACGAAAAATCCCGTGAAATTCTCGAATTGCAAAATTTACGTTTATCGTTCGGCAGATATTCACTTATCGTTAACCGAGTTTCAAGAGAAACTCTTCATCATCATTATACGGATGTTGAACAAACAGAATAGTCGGTTTCCAATTGCCAGCGTAATAAGCATTCCAGCTCCCTTTTAAAGACTAGATTTACTTCCCAAGAGCAAAAATGTTCAGACTATATTAATCTCCCAAGAGCAAAAAATTAAATGAAAGAAACCGACAAGGAAAATCCCCTCCTCACTCCCACCCGTCATCGCGCCGTATTTCATACCTAACTAGTCATAATAATTAACTAGCGTACGCTTTTTGTCCACCATTTCTCTCTCCCATACGGTATCTATCCACCTCCACTGCTCGACTCTGATTTTATTCCGAATTAATAGCGGCCCTCGCTCTCATCTACCTATATAATCGGCAATTTTACCGGAAGTTGAATTACGAGTTATTTAATACGACGGAGCCTTTCACGGGGCAAACTTGGCGTTACTGGGGCATCCAGAGCGCATAGCGAGTGCGCGAGCGGCGCGATAGAAAAATAGTTCAAAAATTGTGAACAACGTTTACCGGGGGCGGCGGCGTTACTAGCGCGTGATTGCCGCGCGCAAATCCGTCATTAATGAGCTTCGAATGGCCGGCCGATACTATGTATATGTGCGTTCGCGCGCGTGTCCACCGATAGACCAACCAGCGATAAATAAACGCGTTTTATTCGCTCGCGATACACTACTGTGCGCCCGCTCACCATTTTTTCTGCTCCCTGCCGTCGCCGCCACCGCCGCCGCCGCCGCCGCCGCCACAGCCGCTGTCGCTGTCGCTGTCGCCGCCGCCATCACCGCCGCCGTTAGCCACGGAGGCCTATTGTTACAATACCGTGGTTTTCCGTTTCGTAATACGTGGGGACTGCGCGCTTCGGAGTCATCGTGCGTGACAATGGGCGGTTTTGACTGCTAATTGACGGAGTTATTTGTGAACAAGTTTATGTAAACACACATTGCTCCGGTAATTTCGTGCGCTCTTGCTGACGGCGGCCTCTTTCGCTCCTGCCTACACGGCACGACGTACCCAGCGCTTATTTTGTTAATACCCGGCTCATTTGAAAGCTCTTTTTTATTGGTCGTTGGAAAATCTTTAACCTCCTTGCTTTCAATTATTTTTCGGCTCGAATACACAGAAACGAAAAGTAAATCAGTTTTTTCTAACCCAGCTCTTTAATGGCATTCATAATTGTGTCGTTGTATGGCGGTCGGTAAAATTGATGCTTTGTCAATTTAAGTTTAAGCTATAACCATTATTACCGTATCTCGATATTTATCTCGATTTGTCTTAGAATGTCAATGGCCGAGCGTTCCACGCTCATTCGAATAAGTATTATTATGGCAATATGAAGCATCTTTATTGCAATTTACATAATAACGTATCGGAATGACAACCGATCAAACCTAATAATTAATCGTATAAAAATTGTTTGTTTCACGCAACAAAGAGGCAAATTATCTGCCAAAATACTGCATTCTTTAATTCGAATGTTGCGTGCTTGTTCAGAACACAATTGTACGTGTATGCGTGTGTATACGCACTTACTCGCAAATAAATGGTAACAAAAACCAATCTTAATTTTTTTTTTATTTTTTTTTATTTTTATTTTCTTAAATAATACACTAGTTCTCTTTGCGGCGTTTAAGCCTATTTTTCTATTTTATTTGTGTCCCTTTGTAACGGCTTGGGCGATCATTATACATTTTTTACAGATTTCATGTTTTTAAGAAAATTGTATTCTTTCCATTTAAAAATACATTAGAATGTTAGCCATGAAATTATGAGCAATTTATATTGATTAAATCTGCATTAGGAGACGCGAAACAACTGTTTATAATGAGAATAAAAACCTATTTGCAAGATTGAATTTCGGTATGAATTATTGTTCTGCTCTAAATACATTATACGTTATAACTGTTTTGTGTGTCTTTGCCTTGTGAATTTAATTGCTTCGCATTACTTTGTGTGCCAGTAAAGTAAAAAATTACTAGTAATTATTATATAATGACATCAACGGAATTAAAGTATAGGAATTGATGTGATATTTTGCTTAAAATACGTTTCATAAAAATTAAACTATTAGATATCGGACAGTGAAGATAAAACGAACACAATTATGTGTAATAATTTTATTACAACAATTATCCGTAGAGTTTCTTCGAAGTCCGATGGTACGCTTTTCAATGAGCATGACAAAATTTTTTCATTAAAATCCATTTTTCAATAAAAAGAAAAAAACCAGATAATAATAATAATAATAATAATAATAATAATAAGAAGAAGAAGAAGAAGAAGAAGAAGAAGAAGAAGAAGAAGAAGAAGAAGAAGAAGATGAAGAAGAAGAAGAAGATGAAGAAGAAGAAGAAGAAGAAGAAAATAACAGTATAAAGGCAAACTTTGCATTAACGGCAAAAGACAACTTTGCAAGTTTCAAAAGGTTAGTTATATATACGTATTTGAAAGTTGCTATCGTGAAATCTTATCGACATCGCGCGATGCTAATGAAATTGACCCAATTATTTTAAATACATTATAAGGAACATTGATAAATACGCATTTTCGGATATAAAGGACATAGAATAACGTCTTAAAATGTCAGATACTTTAAACTGCATCCCTAATATGAAAACGCCTTTTATAATTTTCGACATTTGGCCTTAAATGCAAACATATTAAATAACGATTGGACACTATTATTATAATTCGTTTTAAAAGTCCTCTAAATGATAAAATTGCATGGTAGTCGAATGGCCTTTGCCGGTCTTTTTATCGAGCGTCTACTTAATCAGCTTGTGATATTTAATTATTTCTTCGCAAATGGAAGAGATAAAGGCAGGCAAAAACTTGGGTAAATAAAAAAGAAGATATTCTCACCGCTGATTGGAGAGCCTGTTTTGATGCCTTGGCCTGGACCGCTGTGCGTCCTCCCTTTCCCGAATTAACTTTCCGGTGCCGCCAATTTTTTGCGGCGGATCCCTTAGTGCGAAACTCTTCGCGTAATGACCCAGATGGAGTTCCTTGCGATTGAAGACTTCGCGCATCTCGTGTGGATAGCTCGAATAAAATCGTACCCAAGACGTGTAGGCTGAAAAGGATAGGAAAATTCATAAATACTCTACGTCGGTGTTATAATACCATCTTGGCATTTTATCCAACACGCTCATTCCATTCTAGCGAACTAATAAAAATATTTGTCGTTCAATTTATTGTAGAGGGCTTTACTTGAATACTACAACCCAAGACATATTCTACATAATTCATTTAACGGTCTTTACCTTGATTCCTCTAAAACACGATTTCCAATTCACTTAACAAGATAATTAAATAATAGAAAATTTATTCGCTAAGCAGTTTTTTCCTTATTAATCAACAGACGATTGTAAAGCATAACATTTACTAATCATTTTTTAAATATGTTTTAAATTAAAGTGAATTCTAAGGTAATGTATGAAAATAAACTTAAAATATTAATTGTATAATAATACAGTTACAGAATTCCTCGTAGAAAATATTATGACATTTTATGACACTTAGAAACGTGTAAGTATTACGATATGGTAATAAATTATCGTGTCTTTGCTATTTTTACTCGGTGTACGATCACATTTGGCCTTGCACAATTTAAAATACTCCATAAAATAGAATGATTTCATAAATTAATGAATTAACTATCATCGGCTCATCAAAATGAGACATAATAAAAATAGAAGTTATTAATTATAAACTTCAAATGATCAATTGTAAAAAATAAAAAAAAAAAAAAAACATATAATTTGATTAAATTAAGATTTCTAGTAGGAATAAATTTATAAAATGATTAGTGGACTAAATATACTCTGGTTTATAATGTTTACAAAATCACAAATGTAAACGAATTCTTATAACTCGTATTTAGGTAATAAAATATAAAACGAGTTTAATCCGATGATAAGTGTGTGGAAACAAATGCGTAAAGTGGAATCTTTGTAGATAAAGTTGAAATAGTTGAATACAGTTCACTGACTGTTTTTATATTTAAATCCTTAAACGTTCAATTATTACGTTCTCTAGAATTATTAATATTGAATACAAGTCATTCATTTATTTTACAGTTCAATATAGTTTTATAATCGATTTTTTAAATATGATATATTAAAATATTAAATATTTTAATTTCAAATTTTTCAAACTATGATGAAGTTACATATGTATATATATATATATATATATATATATATATATACCCACAGCTAGTAGAATTTATTCAATAATTATTCACTGTATTTTTCATTTTATTTGCAAAAAAGTATGTAAATATATAAATTATAATTGAATAAGTAAATAATTTTCTAGTGGAATTAAAAATGAGGTAAACCATTAGAATTATCTACGAGTCCGACTACAAAATTTCTTTTTATTATTGTTACTTTTTTTCTTGTACTGATTATAAGTAAAAAATCTAGTTCATAATAAGCGTTGAATAGTTGAGTTCAGCAAAATCTTTAATGTAAAACAAAATGAATGCAATTAATTTAATTGGCATTTCGTAGAAAAATTCACTATATATCAAAAAGCTTTAAATCGAAGGAGTAAAAGCAGCCTACAATGAAATGTCAAATTAATCATTAAAAAGGGATTAGAATAACAAAACAAAACAAGAAAAACCAGAAACATACACGCAGAAATAAGAACTACATATAATATCTGCCTTAAATAAAGTTTAAGAGTATATATATGTTTTACAAGTAATTATGAAATTATTATTAATCGACCTATCGATCATCAGTTTTTTTAAGTAACGCTCAACTACTCGCATTTGTTGAAAAAAATAAAAGTCTTCGCAATAAGCGATATGCATTCGAAGATGCAAAGGATGTAAAGATCTAAAATAGCAGCTCGATGAAATGGCACGAATATCCGAAGGCCTCGACATAAACGTGCCCAGACACTCATACTTTCCCGCGCTCGAATCAAACAGCCAAGACATTTCTCATTCAATGCTTGCACACACAATATATCCAAACAAAAGCGTTTAAAATCATTGGTGAGCCTTCGACACTCCATACCCACTCCGCAGTGTCTTTCTTCGCCGCATTGAGCAGGCTCCGGTAAAAGCCAGTCAGAGAGAGAGAGAGAGAGTGAGAGAGAGAGAGAGAGAGAGAGAGAGAGCGCAAGCGAGCCTCACGTGCAGCCCTGAGGAACGACGAGACAAATGAGCGGCAACGCACACGCCAGGCGGCCGTCGACAGATACACGCCTTGCGGTCCATGCATCCCCAGACGAGACAATAATCGCCGCGACAAAGTCCCCGGGCGCATTCAGGGGCACGTGGCGCGCGCGCGCGTACGTACGCACACACAACGAAAGAGGCGAACCAAATCGCGCGACTCTCCGAAACCGTTAAGGGGCATTAGCCCGGGTGGCACTTGACTCCGCCCGGACTAATAGTTGGCGTGCCTGAGAAAGTACAGACCCCCCCCCCTCTCGCCCCACCAAGTACACGCACACGCATACACATGCAAAACCGCCGCCACCGCCCCCGACTGCGCCACGATCGAGCTTTTGTCACCGCGCAATTCCGCAATGCTTTAAGGGCGCTTATGCGGAGACTCGAGGGCTCTTTTGCTACGCCGTCGACTCCTCTTCCTCTTAATGAGCTTTTACGTCTCCCTTTATTTTGACGCACAGTGCCTCTGCCGTACATCGATTTATGACGTACATTAGGCAAAAATCGAAAAATCGAAAAATCGCTGCACGGATAGAGCTCGCTAATATCATCAATAAAGATCTTTCAGACTCGACGTCATGAATTGTTGCAAGGCGGACCGAGAATAGGAATGTAATTAATATCTTCACTCGCAAAAATCCAATAAATAGTACAATTTTTAGCAACGTTGGCATTACTCGAGTTATTGAGCTTCATAAGACTGGCTGCCATAATTCGTCACGTGAGGTTCAAATTCCAACGGAATATGTTATTTAATTTATGGAAGGTAGACTGTGTACCCGTTCGGATAAGCGGCACTACTTAATTTGAAATTCTGCCATTTCTTGGTACTGCTTCGTTTAAATGAAAATTAAATACTTGAATAATCTTAAATAAGTTTGGCTTTACGATGACTTTCACATTTTTTTTTTATTCTTTCCTTTTTACTACAACGTAAGTAGAGAAGAAAAAAAAGTCCCGAAGTAATGAGAAGTCGATATATATAATATAAAGATTGCGTATATAAAGATTTCGAAGATCTCGACAGAATACAAAAATTCCCTTCCTAATACTTTAGATGACAATTTGAATTAAATTATTTTACTTATAATTTTCACATTAATCTACTACAAAAATTAGTAAAAATAAAAGTAAAATATCATCAAGATACAATATAATGTGCATTGTTTCTGAAATCATTTGTCATCATAATTTGAATTTATGAGTATTAAAACAAAAAAAAACAAAAAAAAAAAAAAAAAACAAATTGCAGCGTTACTATGATTAGTTATATTTTTGTCATAGTAAGCTCGATGAAATAATTCCTCGTAAATAGTCTCTAAATACTTCTAATACCGTAAATGGAAGTTGATATTATGAAAAAATGTAGCAGTCACACTCCCGAATGGAGTCGGAGCGAAGGAACAAAAAGCGTCCTTGATCGCTTGGGAAGCGAGGGAAAATCCACGAGAAAAGAAAAGTGAAATCTCAAAGGAGCAACATGCGAGGCACTCGCTACACAAGCGTATCTCAAGGCGAGCTTTCAGTGCTCGACTTCCGCCGAGTTACTTCGCGCATTTCCTCCTGCCCTCGGATCGAAGAAAAGTTTGATCCCACCGCTGTACAGTGCAAAGAAAACTTCACACGCACACTCGCGAGACGCGTTGTCTTCGGCGCACACATGCTTCTTACGTATAAAAGGGGGAGAAATGTTTTTCTCCATTTAGCACATAAATCTGGATATGAAGGCGCTCCCGCACAGGCTCTCTTACTCTCTCTCTCTCTCTCTCTCTCTCTCTCTCTCTCTCTCTCTCTCTCACTCACTCGCTCTTATATAAAAGGCACTGGGCTCATTGTTCCTAAGTGATGTAACTGCGTCTTATTGTATTTGTATCCTGTATTGCATTGTTAAGAGTCTCTAACTGGGGAGCGTAAGTGGTTTTAGCGGAAGCCACATTCAGTGGTTGAATTTTGCTGCTGTCGTTGTTGCTGTTGTTGTCGTTGTCGTCGTAGTTGTTGTTATTGCTGATGCGGCTCCTACTGTTGTTGCTGTTGCTGTCGAGGGCGACGTTCTTTACATACTTGACGTTCAGACATACCGTCAACAACCCAAATCACCGTGTCGATATCTACCCCAGGACTACGGGGAACATCCTAAGTCGGAGTTGCTTGTGAATACCCGCTGCTGGGTTATTAATTAATCATACGAATCCAGCTCGCCTTACTCAAATGCTGCGAAAATTTTAATGAACGACAAGCGTCAACCACCTATACCAATACTTGAATTCTATTATATTTTATTTATCTATTATATTATCTTGAATACTGTGATAATTGATCGTGTAATGGAGATTTGTCTCTATTTTTATGATACCAGTCTCGGCTCAAAAACTCGGTCGTTACACGCAAATGTATGCACAAGTACATAAGGATTAACTCGCGTTTCAGCCGTTATTGCACTGCAATGGTAGATGTTTTCGGATCGGTGCGACAGAGGCATTGGCCAGACAACGGCGAACCAGTGGCAAATTTAATATTCATTACTTCGCTACCTCTCAGCGTTACCCAAAGTGGCAAAAATCTCGGGCACGTCAGATGGGAAGGAATCGACGAGTCTTCGAGGCCCTTTAATCATTCGGCTCAGCGGTGCAAACTCGCGCGAGGGTCGGTCCGTGGATGGGCGACGTTAGGAATCGCCGAGACTCGACGGGAGCCCCTGCTGATCCCGCGTGCTCCTCCCAACATCGAATTGATGAATCCAGCGTATCAGCGAGAGTTCGGAGAGTCGTTCGTTAGACGAGCACTCGGCCTCCAAATATGATATAACGGTATACGACCGAATGAATAGTTCAAATCTATTGGGACGACAATACTACGAATTAGCGAGGCCTTTGCTTTTCCTCACGGTGTCTCGCGTCCACGCCACGTCAATTAAATGAATTTCAAGGCCTCGCGATATGGGCCTAGGCGCGATCAACTCCGTGTGCGTGCGCATTGTACAAGAGGGATTCGGGATCCCCGGGGAGACTAATGGTGTTACGGATGTCGAGCGAGCGAGCGAGCGAGCACCGACCGAATAAAATTATTGTCAGTAGCCGGTGCTCGTAGGAAATTAAAGTGCGAAAAGCACAAAGGGAGGGAGTAACACACACAGAGAGAGAGAGAGAGAGAGAGAGAGAGAGAGAGAGAGAGATATCGATGCGAAGGCTCAATATGCCTATGAAAATTCATTTACTCGACGACGATCGTTTACACAGACGCTACAACGTAAAAGTCGGATACTCTATGGTCATTTCTGAGATAACCTTTGCGATAAGCTAATGGAAATTTGTCCGGCGATCAAAATTTTATATGCTTTACCGTCTATTGATTTAACGCTACTAAAAGTAACTTTTATTATCAACACAACAGGTCGGCACGTTTGAATAAAAATTCTGTTTTCGTGAGTTTTCTTGATCTCGTGTACCAAATAAAGTACATTAACGAATTATGTATATCTTCATTCGATAATTCGAATTGATGATTTTAAAGTAAGGATATTTCAAAGTGCATTTCCCTGTAAAAAATTACGATAAGCCAGCAAGGCGATATATTTGAAAATAATTTGAAATATCTCGTATATTGATTCGAACAACTTTATACTCGATAGTCAACTTTTATTTACTAAATTGACGCTACCTTTGTCTTATTAAATATTCATTGCGTGCATGTTATTTACAAAATACTGAAAACTTTTGGAAACTAACTTGGAAATTAACTTTCCTTTATAAAATTTACAAATTTTCAAATGTTTGTCATTTAAAGAACCAAGGCAAAGTTACAAAATAGAACAAAAATCAATTGAAAGTATAGAGAAGCCGAAAAAATGAAAGAACCCATAATGCAGAGTGTAAATAATATATCAAGTTCGTTATCAATCACAAATGGCGTACTTGATAAATTAATGCACTGATTTTTCAGTGGAGAAAATTCAATCGGGCATTGACACACACACAGACTCTGTCTCTCTGTCTCTCTCGTGCACAATTATTTCATCAATCAACTGATTCGAGCGAGAGAAATGGTCAAGTGGTTAGCTGTGTAGCGTCAGTCAAATATGCCGATCGGCTGTAACGTCGAACTAAAAAGCGTGGCTAACCTTCGTGTAAAGCCGTGCCGTTGGCGACGGCGACGACCAACGAAACAACTATTTCGAGCGCCCTGCAAAACCTTTTAGGAAGATTTATGGACCGCGCGAAGCTATCGCCGTCATTCTCTTTCGCCTTTCATTCCTCTTGCTCCTATGCTTTGTACGGGCGAGTCACGCGCACTACAATTTAAATGATGTACTTCGATTGATTTCCCTTCCCCGCCCTTCAATAAAGCTCATCTATTATTTCCTACCGATGTCACGCTCTACTCACTCATTCGCTTACGACACTTGACGTTGGTTGAAAATTCAATTCGACTCCTACGCCGCTGATTTCAGGTTCAACAATCTGGTAAGTTAAATATTCATTGCATATTCCCTCATTAATATTTCGTACAGCAATTATTTTTTTTTCTCTTTAATCGACTTACTATTAAAATAACTCCCATGTTGTGATATATATATATATATATATATATATATATATATATATATATAAATTTGTGTGTGCGCGCGCGCGTGTAATATTTTAAGTTAAAGGAGATTGTTGAATTAATACAACTAAACAAAGCAGAAAATTTATACAACAATTATTCAATGCATTAGTATTAAATATATCATGTATAATCTATCTTTTTATTATATTATAAATATAGATTATATTATAAAAATTTCTCTACGTACACAAAAGGTTGTAGTAATAATAATAATGATAAAAAAAATAATATACAACAAATATAACAAATAATTCAAATCATTATTTTAACCATTTCCTGATATGATGTGCATGCTATATCGTATAAATTATATTTCTTTTGTAGGTGTAATTGGGCCAATTAAGTGAAAAATGAAAGGTCTGCAGCTGTACAATAACATTAATGAGTAATAAAAATTTTAATTTCAGATATTATACATTAGCCAGTAAAATTTTATTTGATAAAAATCTACGTAAATGAGCAACGTATTTAAGAACAACAACTTTTCCAACTTTCTCAAGCAAGATATTCTTTTACACTAAATATCTTGTTAAAAAATTTCCCTAAACTTTCATTTACGTATAATTACTTACATCCATTTACATCTCTTTACATATTCGAATGTCATTTAAAATGAATATCTTAAATAATAATAATAATAATAATAATAATAATAATGATAATAATAATAATAATAATAATAATAATAATCTATTAAATAATTTTTACGGACTTTGTAAATGTCGAAGGGAAAGAATGAATCATCTACACTCAAATCTTTCACAAAATGCTCAAAACGTGATTGAAAACAATAATTTTAGTACAGACGAGATTGTTGAAAGACGAGAATTATAGGCTATAGTCTACTTTCATGTACAAACGAGGGCGGCACATCTTCGTATCTGCACACCCTACTTCCAAAGGCGCATCGTAATGGATTTATTATTGCGCAAAATAAATTCTTCCCCGTAATAACCCTAATAGAGTAACCATAGCATGCCAAATAAGATCATCATCTATCCCCGCCTATGGACTATGTATATTTGCGTATTAGGCAGGGGAGAAAAGAGAAAAGCAAGCTCATCTCATAATATTTGGAGTGTGTGGATCGGGGTGACTTTATGTGTATTGTCGAGTTAGGGGAGGACGCGGGCGATCGCTTGGATTGGTTTAATCTTTACGAAAGACGACTACTAGCATTGATAGAGACGCGAGGCGGAAACATTTCCCTTCGTTAAACGTAACTTGCTTACGTGTGATTGTTTCTAATTCGAAATAAATTGAAGCTCTAATCGCTTTTCGTCACTATTCGTTAACATATTCATGCCCGTGAACGTTGTTGTTCCATTAAAAAAAAAAAAAAAAAAGCTACATAATAATATGATAATAATGATTCGCGGACGTTATAATATGAAAATACTGGATTTAGTGAAAATTTTGACGGCCACTGATATCATTCATTACTTTGGCTTAATATTCTCATTGCTAATACACTATAATAGATCATAACATCGTCTAATTTATCCATCGAAGAGATTTGCCATTATATTTACGTACAGTAATCACCAATTGCAATTAATTCTCTTAATTGTATATTTCTAGTATAATAAGTCTTGTTATTGTGCAATTAATCAAATGGCATTATTTCAAAAGGGAAGGTGATTTTTAATCGTTAAACTATTCTCACAGTTAAATACATCAGCGTTATAAAAGCATTTTCATCATTTAAATAATACCATTTTACACAGTGGTATTCACGGCACATCTCGTGCAATTTTATTTATTACGTAGAATATAATAATTACAAGATAATGGGCTATATTCTGTAAGCTACGTTATTATTTCAAATATTAACCTATCCCAATGATTTACGTAATATCATTATGAGAATTTATATTCTAGATCGTTCTCTTAAGCAATTAAAATATTCACCCATAAGATAATTCAACTATACCAACAAACTTTTCATAAAATCATACTGAATAACGATATAATTCTATCACCAATCCACGATAAATAACTAAGTCTTAAGTCTTTCCTTTAATCTTTATTATCCCGAAGTTTCCTCCATTATCATAATATCTTTTATTCCTAATATTTTACAACATTAATATTATTACGTGCATGATATAAGTGACATTCAACGAGTAGAAAAAAAATTTTAATCAACGTTGGGTACTGTTTATTCAATGCAACGACAAATTTATTAATATCGAGGCAGCTACGAATTGCAATAGAATTCCCGATTGCAAAATTTCTACCTCCAAATGGGAAATATATAAAGACTGTTGTGGCTCACCTTTGCATGCCATGGCATATAATTTCTTATCGGCCAGTACCAGTTCCTCAAATTTGTTCTGCAGGCCGACGGCAGCGTCGCACGCAGACGTGTACGGCGAGAGAGGATCCAAGAGACCCTCGAGCACTTTGTCCATATCATCCTGCTTGATGCGTATCCTGCGTGCTTCGAGCAAACGCGCGAACTCCACCTCCGGGGGCGTGAGGAACACGGTCGCCGTACCCGATGAGCCGGCCCTTCCCGTACGACCAATCCTGTGCACGTAATCCCGAGTCGACGTCGGCCCCGTGTACTGGACGACTGTGTCCACCTTGGGCAGATCGAGACCGCGCGCCGCTACGTCCTGCAATAGGGATGGCAATCTTTTTGAATTTGATGCTCATGAGAAACTACATAAAGCTGCAAGTAAAGTCGCAGGTGTAATAATGATATGTAACATTTTACGGGACGTATGAGAACATGAAGCGTGGACACACCTGCAGTATATTAATACAGCCGAATTTGCCAAAAGTGGGCGGTTAAAAATCATTCTCTGCAATAAAATTCATATGTCCATACACACGATAACGGATGCGTACGCGCGTGCCTCTGCGTAGTCTCTCTTTTTTTTTATCCATATCCATTCTATTGGATATGGATATCCATATCCAATGGATATTCCATATCCACGTATGAATATAGAATTTTGTATATGGAATACGTGACCTTGTACTTTTATTCTAAAGTACGCAAATCATTCCATTTATTGAATTTTTACTAAAAATAATTAAAATATAGACTGTTTTGTGCTTGAAAGGAACCGTGGCTTATTAAAAAGAAGGACGTGTCAATGAAAAGGTTGTATGCAAAATAACATTATAGACAGGTTTATCGATCAAGGTCTTATCAAATTAAAATAGCGTAAAAACAAAACATACTCTTTCAAAAAAATATGCACATATATAAGTACATGCAGATGAGTACAAGCGCGCAAAGGCATACGCACGTACAATGGTCTATGTGCGATGATGCACATGTGCGCATGATCATGCAGCTGCCTCTACTGCAAACGTGCATATACCAGTTCATATTTGGTTTTTGTTTTTTTAAAAAAGTTTTTTATGATACACTGTCATCGGATGGATAAATATTATTTTTCAATATCAATCTGGAAATTTATTGGTTCTGTCTAAGATTGAAGGCGGCACTCATGTACGCAATGAGAAAAAGGTTTCTTTGTAATTAATAAAAGACGTCTTCAATAAATTTTAAACGTAACGTCACTTCTTACAAGCCAATCTTCGATTTTGTTAACTCCAATAAATCTCAGCTCCGACGGAATACAATTTGTCATCGACGCGAGCTTATTTTGTAACGCACGCATCGCTTTGCCAACGCGCATGAGTGACCAGAGAGGCAGACCACGAGCAGTTCGCCAACCTCTCTGTTTATCCGATAAAATTGTTGAACCGTTTAACGAAGCTTGGATACCTAAGCAACCAATATTAACGCAATATTCCACGAGCAGCCGATAACTCCTGCGGCCAAATATTTCCTCGGCGAGGGCGCGCTGCTGTGGGAGCCGATGCCGACTTTTTACAAATGCCTCACAAAAGCCACTCGCCCCCGCCACTTTGTGTTTCAACATATGTAAAGTCGGTGCAGCAAACTTCGCGACACCCGCTGTGGACCCGGCGGCCAACGTTTGTCCCTCTCTCTCTCTCTCTCTCTCTCTCTCTCCCTCCCTCCCTCCCTCCCTCCATCCCGTCCTCTGACTATCTACAAACATGCGCAACGCGCGCCAATGTGTGCGCGTGTATGTGTTTCTATCATTGACTAGTCCGTATAGTGATTTAGTGGATCGTACCGACTTCGTACTGGGGAGAAAATGGATCCAGCGCGCTAGGGATATGCGTCCCCATGGGGGGTGAGTCGCGAATTCCTTCACGAAACCGATGTGTACTCGCCGGGGCTGCGCTTGTTTTCTTTTTTGCCGGCCCCATCGTGCATTGCGAATATTAGCTTGAGCGCTCGAGAATTTGTGCCAATACATGATTAGTATGCAGATTTGACAAGTTTCTCTTTTTCTCCTTTTCCTGGTTTATCTCTTTTCATTTTGCTTTCTTTCTTTAATGTGACGCTCATTCAATTCGTTTGCATATTTGCATCCACAACTTCTACAAATCAATAATTGTAAATCTTAAATTCAAATTTCTATTTGACGGGTCTAATAAAACTGCATCAATACAAAATATATAACTCTTTAGAAAATTGGCATGTGAATTTGTTATAGAAAATACTTAGGTACATTAAAATATCGTTAGAAATATGTACATTTGTCACAGAATGCTAGAAGAGACATATTATTTCTAAGCTATCATTTGCAAATTAAATTTTATTTTACCTCAGATCAATAAGTTAAGCTAAAATCATGTGTTTATATACTACTTTCTCTATCAATGACACATTACAAATTTCACGTCCATTAATAATCCTTTAGGGATGGTAATTTTACTTAAACACAAGATAAGTTGTATAAATTAATTGATAAAATGAGACAACCGTAACGATGTTTTTAAAATTGTTATTAATAAAATTTTTGTATAATATTTATAATATATGATATAATAAAATAAAATTATTGAAATTTTGTAAAATAAATGCAATTTTGGAAACTTTACTATAGTACAGTCATATTTAAAATTCGTAATTATCCAAAATTACGGAACCGCCTAAGAAGTTTTTAATTTATAATAAATGTCGATTACTCAAAATTATGTTATATTAAATTTATTAACTATTATAATACTACTAATATTATGATTACTAATTTAGAAGTTGTAAATATGAATATTAACAAAATTATATTTAGTATATAAGTGCGTAATATGTAATTGCGGTTACTTGGTGCTATAGTTACATCAGGGCTAATTAAAAAAAAAATTTACTTTAACGTACTACAAAGATAGTATAAAAAATTATTCGCTATTTGTATAACGAAATTATTATAAAAGATGTTTCACGAATCCAAACTACATGTACGATACAAAATTAATATTACTGAACTTGGTGTCTGCTTTTGTTAATAAAACCAACTTTATTTTTAAATTTTGCTTTTTTGTTTTAGATCAATGAAATAAATCTTTATGTACAGAGGTTAAACTGAATTTAATATATGACATAATGATTCACACGGGAAGAGAAGTTTTATTAAGCTTCTGGTTAATATATCATTTACGAGTAAGACAAATAAAAAAAAAAGAAAAGAAAAGAAAAAAAAATTCAAATTTTAAGGAAAATGTCTAGTGTAACTAAAAATTTCAATGAAACATAATTCATAATTTTGACTGCTTGAACTGAAAAAGAAGCAGATAAGAGTTAAATTATGATGGGGACCTCCCACATGTTATATTATTGCACTATTTATATAGAAATATAATAAGTAAACAAATCAAAGACAATATAGAAATATCTACCAGTAATATTGTTTATTAACATACAAATTCGTAAAATATTATAATATAAAAAAGAATAAATAATGAAATTTTTTGGAGACATACATAATTACATATTCAAGAAATATATGATTTGATAAAAACATTGATGTTTAATTTATAATAAACATATCAAATATTTACACCCATGCATTTAAAATAACGTGTATTTATAAATAATTATAAATTAAGTGTTTATTTGCAAACCTCCGAATGCTTGTTAAATAATTCTATGTAAGATTACGAAATTATTACAATAAAAATAACCAAATTTCATTGTGAGAAATCGGCAGACTATTCAACAATGCATACAATCATGTTGCATAATTTTTGATAAAATTTGTTAAAATATCCGTATTTAAAAAATTGAATTTCAAATTTATAATTTTACTTGCCTTGAAATATGAGGGATAATAAGTGAAAGCATTGATTAATCTTTGGACTACTCGAAGACATCAATTATATATTCATAATTAATACAATTGATGCTCGTCACTGAAATTTTGGCTTATTATCAGAAAAATCACGTTGTTATATGTAAATGACAAATTATCATATTATAAATTCAAATTCTATCTAGGTTTTAAAATAAAATATAAATTGCTCCGAATATAAATATTTTAGTCGATTTTGTTCTATAAATAATGCATTAATGAATATTTGAGAATGTTGATAAGCACAATAATTTATAATATATACATTGAGCAAGAGATTATCTATTAGTAAAGATTTTTTAGAAAATATTTTCTAGATATCGTTCGCTAGTAAAATTACAAGCAATTGCGTTAGTAGATTTATTATTATATTCTCATTATCTCATGCATATTTTCAATTTTGTGGGCAATAAATAATTTAGATTACGTTAAATATAGTTTCAATAAATAAGTTTTAGGTTTTAATTTAATGCTACAAAATTTTGTTCGACATCGCTGGACTCTCAAGTATATAGTTACTAAAAATTTTATGCAATAATACTTCATTCGAGGATTTTTCCCAATAGCATTGTTTTCAATTTTCAATTATTCATTGAAAAATCTTTAAGCAAAAAGTCAATGACTCGATAACTTTAGGTTTATCATAATTTAGTAACACAGTAACACACATTTAAATTATTAGCAACATTGATTATGTTCGTTCAATTATTACTATTTATATGAATAATGACTTCATAATGTTTGAGTGTTTCATAGATAACATAATTAATTGATAATATTGCCAATCGATAATTTAATAATTGCACTTTATAAATATATGAATAAAACTTAGTATAAATCCATTGGACCAAATTCCTATATATATGTTATAGTTATTTTATCGATAGTTTATTTATTTCTACCAATTTCGTGCAATATTATAATATAATGCTTTTTAGATTAAATTCGGCACCTTGTATTATAACATCTAATATAAGAATTTTTTTAATAAATAGGAAAACATGTTTTCTAAACATCCAAGAAAAATGATGAATTATAGATAATACAAAAGGAGATGATGTCACACACTGTGTGCAAGAATTTTCGAAATAATACAAATATTTCGTACTTTTCCAAAATAAGAACATCACGATTGACTAATAATATTCTTCTATACTTCAACGCATTACGTTTGATAAAATAATAAAGGATATATCAATATAATTAATTCTACGGTAGTATCGCTGTTTCGACCAAGGAAATATTTAGTATTTGATTAGCGCTTTTAATTGTCGCTGTAATTCTTCATAAAATAGTCGAAAACTATTTTGTTTATCCTTTTCTTTAATCTTTACAATAAAATATCTTCATTATTATTTGAAGGTCTATATCGTTGTAAAATGATCTATATACAACAAACACTATAAGGCTAATCTAACAAGATTTCATTTTTAATATTCAGAATATAATTGCAATAAGATAACGTTATTTTATAAAATT